TCTTTCTTTGAAGTCAAAGGGTAATATAAAGTTTTGATTTGCAGCAAAATCTGAGATTATCCATTAACCACTCTAGCAGGCCTTCTACTGCCTTTCAAATGTACATCTAATTTTTAAAGGGACCAGGCTCTTTTCTTTGCGTTTACCTTTCAAAAAGTATATTTAAGTAGAATGGTCTTTTAGAGTTACAGAGTAGCTTTTCAGATGTTGAAAGGATATATTCTTAGAAAAACTGCATGCAAATGAGAGGCAACAAGCTGAAACTTCATGCAAATGAGAGGCAACAAGCTGAAACTGCTAATCTCAGGAGTGAACAGCAAGTGAGTACTCTGAATGCAGCATCTCTTTTGGGAAGTAGGAAGCTGCAGAAATCATTCTGAATTCCACAAGCCCTGAAAATACTGTGTAGCATTTACTATCCCATTTTTGAATGTACTGCGTAAATGTAAATCATACAGGTCCCCTGTCCTCGCCAAGAGTTTATTCTCAGACACAGAAGGAGTGCACGTGACTACCTGTTGCCCACCTTCTTTTCAGCTTGATGGTATGGATCTGAAGGGAGGGCAGAGGATCAGGGAATCAAATGCTCACAGACAAGGACAGATGACTGCTGTCTGGAATCTGTTAATCTCCCAAAGGGCGCAGTAACTGCAACAACAGTGGATGATAAATATTGTTGTTTTGTTTTTCCTCAGTCCTGCAAAGGCAGTTGTAGTTTCAATAGTCCCATAGCCTGCAGTGCTCTATGGGGCCCGGACCGGGGCACAAACCCGGGTCCCCTGCATCGGCAGGTGGACTGTCAACCACTGCGCCACCAGAGAAGCCCTCCCTTCTTTCTTAACTACTATACACCCCCAAAGATGTATAGTTTAAATTGTATATACCAAAGTTTTATCATGTTTTTATGTAATAAGTTACATAAAAGATATTAAACAAAAACCACCCATCCCCTTAAAAAGTTGTGTGTGTGGAAGGACAGTAAGGCTAATGACCATCATGGCATGGCCAAATAACACAATCTTAGAAAACAGAACTATAAGTAATTATTAGACTTTTTTTTTTTTTGGCTGCACCGTGTGGCTTGTGGGATCTTAGTTCCCTGACCAGGGATTGAACCCGGGCCCTCGGCAGTGAAAGTGCCGAGTCCTAACCACTGGACCGCCAGGGAATTCCCTAATTATTGGACCTTTTGGACCAGTGACCTCCTTGTTTTGCAGATGCGTAGCATCACTGGATTTCAGGGGCTTCCGTAAAGTGAGTTGGGATGCCCTTCTGTTGGGCTATCTTCTGTCGTGAAACCATTTGTCAGGGAGAAGCTTGAGTTTCTAATGCACTTACGTCAGCTGTATTGGACCTGGTTTTGTACTATGGCCACCCCAAACTGAGCTTCCTTCATGGTTGACTCTCTGACAGCCAGAGGACTCAGTCTGGGATCTCAGTGGAAGAACACTATCTGATGTCTCCAAATGTCTGGTACTGAGGCTCTCTGTAGGGAAGAGGTAGAGAGGGGAGAAGCCAGGGCTAGGCCGATCCAGCAGGAGGGTCACTTTCTTAGGCTGCTGCCCTCGACCTCTCAAAAACGGCTCTGCCTCTGGGCTCTAGTGAGGGGGGAGGAACTTCTCCCTTCATTTGGCTGGTCAGAAACATGTCATCTATAGAGAGAGGCTGAATCACCATTTACTTGAAGTGGGGATGGTTAGGAGGAAAGGGGGTAAACTGTGAGCTAGTGTGTCTTTCACCCGTGGATAAAGAATGAGCAGATATTATGGGATTTAAGTTCTTGGTTATTTTTGGATAACAAAACAATAAATAGGGTTTCACACAATCCAAAAATGGCTTCTGTGATTAGCGAAAGTTGTTTGAATGATGGAAAATGTTTCAGGAGCAGGCAGCGTTCAAGCTGTCAGTCAGCAAGGCTCTGGTAATCCCTGAAAGGTGTGCAGCCCTGGAGTAAACACATGTTTAGAATAGAAACAAAAGACTAATTCCCTAAAGGCACTTGCACATTTGGATAAAGTCCACTTTAAACCACTGCCGTACAAAATGGCGTTATCCCCTGTGTAGATAGTGGCTTCTAATATAAGCTTTGCATCGGTTTAAATAAGTTAGGTTAAATACGGAAACATCTGTTGAACATTTTCATGTCCCTTTCCATGTGACTCTTTATGGGAAGTAATCAGTTTTGCCCAGTGTTCATGCATTCTGCTAAACTAAAATGTGTGCCAGTCTCCAGAGGATAGAGAGATGGGCAGGGATTCGTAGAATAGTTGGTGGCAGTCATGGGAGGCCTAGGCTGCAAGTAGAACACGCCAGCTTTCCTGGGTACTACTCCCTCACCAAGAAAGGCTCTCTAAGATCCAGAGATGCAGCATCCCCCGATTCCATTCTCCAATCACCCGGATTCCCTTACTTCCTGACAAAAATCCAAAAAACAAAAACAAAATAAACCTCAACTTTATTTTGCAAATTTTGGCTGAGGGTGGGGAAGGAGGTATTAGAAGCTGTAGTTCTTGCTTTACTTCAACAATGACAACAATAATAAAATTCAATGAAATAATGCCCCTTATAGCTGAAGAAGTAAGTTTCCACTTAAGTGTAATTTGAATTTACCAAATTTACCTTATTTCAAGAGACCCAAAACATTTCACCTCATTATTTCTTTTAAGGATTACAAAGTGTAGAGCAGGGGGAAAAAACAAACGACTAATAAAGGATAATAGCAATTTGGCAGGCAGGTGTTCTTAGTTTCATCAAAAGAATGACTAGCATATTCAGTCTTATTTGAATACTAAAGAATGTCTTAAAAAGTTATTCTAGATCCTTTGGGTGTTTCCTAAAGTGGATTAATAATCAGAGTCTGGATTCAAATTCCAAATAAAGCCGATGAATACACATAATTATTATCTCCCCTGCCTTAGATCAGGTTATTCATTTTCTTCAGAATTGAGCTGGAATCCATCTCTGATAAGGACTTGGAGGAATTAGCCAGTTTGAGGTCACTTTTATCAATAGCTGTTTTATCTTTGTGACCATAAGTGAATTTCTTAGACCAGCACTGTTCAGTAGAAATATAATGCAAGCCACATATGTAATTTTAAATTTTCTAGTAACCACATTTTTAAAAGTTAAAAAAAAATGAAATTAGTTTCATAATATATTTTATTTAGCCAATATAGCCAAAATATTATTCTAACATGGAATCAGTATTTTAAAATTATTGAGATATTTTTTGTGTTTTTTTTTTCCACTAAGTTTTCTAAAATTTTTTTTTTGCGTTTTACACTTAAAGCAAATCTCAGTTCAAACTAACCACATTTCAAGTACTGGATAGCCCACACGTGGCTAGCATCTACTGTACTGGACAGCACAGTGCTGACATGGTGAGGCTTGGCAGCAAAGTAGGGAGGCTTTATCGGTCAAACCAGGAGTTTGAGCTTTACCCTGAAGGCTGTAGGGTCATAGCAGAGCAGTGTTATTTTTAATTTTGAACTTAATCAGGTGGTCTCAGAGAATGCAGGTTAGAGATTCAGGAGTTGCGAGCTGTAGCATGAAGCACGTTAAAGGCTGTTGTAGGGGTCCAGGTGAGGAGTGATAACCCAGACTCAAACACTGGGGGGGACATGGACCAAAGGAAGAGTGTCTGAGAGATTTAGGAGGTAAAATCATCAGAACTGGGTGGTGACTGCTGGATCTGAAGGGAGGGAGGGGATAATCTAGGATGGTTGTCCAGTTTCTAAACCTGGGTAGCTGGGCCAGCAGTAGTGGTGGTAACTGAAACGGAGGGAGGCAGGCTGTGAGGGGGTGAGTGCGGCAGGGTACCAGCTGGGCCATTGCGCTTTCCGGCAAATTTGCTTTGCAGGCTTTCAGAATTCAGGCCAGCGTTTGGTGTAGGGGACAGTGAGTCTGTTTGAAACAACTGTTTGTTATAATAGCTCAGTGATTTCAGAGAAAGCAGTGGGAGTACAGACATGCTTTTTCTCCTTGCTGTGAGCACTGATAGGTGATCACTGAGAAAGTGGAAGCGCTGAGCAAGAGGTGGGAAGCGCGGAACTTAGCGGCCATGGGAGCAAAGCTTGTGTTAGACAGTGGGTGCTGAGCCGCAGGTTTTGTCACCCATTATAACACCTGCTAGTCACACTCCTTTTAAAACATTGTTGGGTTGTAGATTTGCAGTCACTATTCGAAGTAGACTGTAAATTGAGGGAAAAGGTCCTTTAAAAAAAAAAGGCTAAAATTAATATCACTATTAACTGTGTGTCAGGCACTAAGTTCTTTACAGAGATACTTAATCCTCACAAACACCCTCTTGAAGTATTGTTGCTGTCTCCAATTTACAGACAAGGAGACTGAGGCCCTAGAGATTAACAACTTACCCAAGGTCACAAGGCTAGCAAGGAATGGAACCAGGACTTAAATGCAAACATTCTCTCTCCAGGCCTTTCTTCTTTCTGTTAAACTGACTCTATTTTTATCTGTTCTAATGCCACACAAATAGGCAAATCCTCAGGCGGAGAACCTTATGCTTTTATCCTGTAAGCTCCAGTATAACTTATTTCAGTTTGGTTCAGGTCCTCCTAGAAGAGATGAAACTCCAGAATTGAGCCTTAAACTACCTTTCAGGGGAGCAGATGATGGCTGGATCCTCGGGTGACCTTGTGAGGACAAGGTGGCACGGTGTGTTCAAAGGTCTCTTCCTTTAGCTCATGGCCCAGTGGTAACTGATAAAGGGTGTGCTGGTTACTTTTTATTAAAAATTTTTTTAAACCCTCTTATAAATATTATTATTTATAAACAAGCTAAACCATGTTAGCTTTTCTTCATGTGTTCTCATGAAAAATTTTATAAATTTTTTTTACAGAACAAATTTTATAAATATTTGAATTTGGAAGGGGATGAGAGTCCGTAACATGGTAGAGACACAAAGGCATTTGTACAAAGCTTCAAAACTTGTCCAGTTTTCCTACCATATTCAGTGTGGCTTCTTTCTCTTTGGTCTACAGATGAAACATGTGAATGAAAGGTTTCAAGATGAGAAAAATAAAGAGGTGGTTCTCATGTGCATCGGCATCACTTCAGGAGTTGGACGGCTGCTCTTCGGCCGGATCGCAGATTATGTGCCTGGTGTGAAGAAAGTTTATCTACAGGTACTTTCTTAATAAGCCTTTTTTCCTCTAGCAAATTTATCCTTACCACCTAATGGCTCATTATATGTACTTATTTGCTTAAATTCTTCTGTAAAAATGAGAAATATTTTCTAGAACCTAACTTTTACAAGCAGTTTTTCAAGGGCAAAATCAGTTATGAGTTTTGGGCTTTCAACATGAGAAATTGGCGAACAAACAACAATCTTTGTCTTGTCATGAAACTCCACCAAACCAAAATGCTGTTTGCGCATTGTTTTTTCTAAGAATGATTTATTTTTGGCATAGTTCTCAATAGTCACGTGCCTTTTGCAATACCCTGTGAAATTCAGGGGTGTGCGTGTCTTCTGAGTTTCTTTACTGCAGATCGCCTCCTGGGTATTGTGGGGTGTGCTATTCCAAGATCACGTCGACACTTATTTGACAAGTATTTAAGTGACTCCTCCGTGCCAGACACTGTGCTAAACGGTACAGATGAAATATGGTCTGTGTGCTCAGTAGTTAATGGTCTCCTGGGAAGAAAGATAAAGCAGTGCTGCAGCACAGTGGAATAATGGGATGCTAGATGGGTGCCATAGAAACATAGGCACAAAGCATCTAAATCACTAGAGGAGGTTTGAGCAGGCTTCCTGGGTTGGTGGAGTGTTAAGAGGTGAGTAATAGTTAAATAGATAAGGAAGACAGAAAAGGGTGTTTGTTGCAAGCAGAGGAAGCCACATGGGCAAAGAGATGTTAGGTCTGGGAAACAATGTTTGAATGGACTAAAGAGAGAATAGTAGATTGATTGGCTGAGGGATAGGCAGGAGTCAAGTTGGGAACGGCCTTTATGAGCACAGAAGAGGCCGAACTCTATCCTGAAATCTACCAGGAGCCATTAAGGATTTTAAGCAAGGGAGTGACATGACATGAGTTGTATTTTTTTTTTTTTTGGTGGTACACGGGCCTCTCACTGTTGTGGCCTCTCCCGTTGCGGAGCACAGCCTCCAGACGCTCAGGCTCAGTGGCCATGGCTCACGGGCCCAGCCGCTCTGCGGCATGTGGGATCTTCCCGGACCAGGGCATGAACCCGTGTCCCCTGCATCGGCAGGCGGACTCTCAACCACTGCGCCACCAGGGAAGCCCGACATGAGTTGTATTTTATAAAGCTTAACCTAGTGACTGTGAAGGGTGGAATACAGAGGAGGAAGGGCAAGAGTTCATACAGTCACAAAAGGCCACATATCATGTGGTTCCCTTTATATGAAGTGTCCAGAATAGGCGGATCCTGAGACAGAGAGTGCAGCCTAGTGGTTGCTAGTGGCTGGGGGAAGGAGGGTATGGGGAGTGACTGCTCCTGGGTATGGGGTTTCTTTTGGGGTGTTGTAAATATCCTAAAACTAGGCAGTAGTGATGGTTGTACAATCTTGTTAAACTAAAACCCGTGGTGAATTGTGCACTTTAAATGGGTGGGTGAATTCTTTGGTATGTGAATTTATATTTCAATAAAGCTATTGTTATTATTTTTTTTAAAAAGCGGAGGCACAGGGACTAGTTGGAGAATATTGAAATAGTCTGGGCAGGAGGAACCAGGGCAGAGATGTTGGGATCAAACAGGGAGTAAAACAGGGATACAGGAAATGAGAATTCAGTGGAGCCGCCTAAGCTGGGTCTGAGATTTGTGGCTCAGGTAACAGTGGAAGGTTTTGCTGTTTTATCAAGATCAGTAATTCAGTAGAACAGAGTAAGATGATGAGTTTGTTTTTGTCATGTTAAGTTTGTAGCGCTTGTGGGAAAGCCAAGTTGAGTTTGGAGCTCGTGGGAGAGCGTGGCTAAGAGACCTGTGGGACTTCGGCATTCGTGGGCTTGTATGAGGTGAGTAGAGCGTGTGCAGGGGACACTGAAAGGGAGTGGCCAGCCTGGTAGGAAAAAAGCGAGGCACATAGTGTTTCCAGGGGCAGGAGTGGTCAGCAGTGTCAGTAACTAGTGAGAGGGCAGGCACGTTAAAGACTAATAGGTTTTCACTGGATTTAGCAACAGAGGGGAGTTTCAGTGGAGTGGCAGGTGCAAAAGACTGATCATGATCAGCTGATTAAATGGAAATACAGGCAACCTTGTCAAGGGCTTGGCTGTGGAAGGACGGTAAAGGAGAGACAAAATGGGGGCTTGGGACTGGGGATTGAGCACGTCCGTTCACTGTAGAGATAAGGGGCAGTATCTGAGCAGGGCCTTGAAGGAAAGGTAGAACTTGGGCGAAGGACATGGTTGGAAAAGACATTTATTACAGATAAATTGCCTTTAATTGATTTGAAATAATAGCCCTCCCCATTTACTGAGCACTTCCGTGTGCCAGACGATGAACTGAATGCTGTACGTACATTATCTTATTTCCTCCTTGCCCAGCCCTTCGAGGAAGGTACTGTCGCTGTTTCCGCTTATGGATGCCAACACGGAAGAACAGAGAAGCTACCTCACTGTGGGTGTTTGTGTATAGGGCCAGGCAGAGAGCTGCAGGAAGGAGTCTGGTCACACGGCTAGAAGGAAGTGCAGACAGCTAGTAGAGTGCTACTTTTTAAATATTCACTGTGTTAGGATCATTCCCCCTTTTATTAATACCCAACTGCGGATATCCCTGTCGAACACTTAGCAGAACATTGTCTTGTTCTCAAGTGTCAAGGGAGCCCTCTAATGGAAATTGGTTGTATTACAGACTTTTGGCTTCCTTTCATTTATTAAAATAAAAGAGGAGTGCCCATTGTGCCCCAAGCACCAGCCCAGACCCTGGTAGGGGGTGATACAAACAAGACAGACGTGGTCCCTGAGTTCCTGGAGCAAGACTTGAGGCAGGAGAAAGCTGGGAGTGAATGGGAACTCAAGAAGACAGGGAGAGTGGCCTGGGAAAAGGTTGGGAAGAGGAGGGCCCAGATTAAACAGGGCCTTGAAATCCCTGATGCAGACATTTTACTTGAAGCATAGTAGGTCTTTGTTGGGGAATGACGTGATTTTACATTTTAGTCGCTGTGGTCGCTGTGTGTGTGGAGGCTGTATTACTGGGAGGGAAGCAGGAGTGCTGGAGGGAGGGAGACCAGTTAGGAGGCCAATACAGTGTCCCGGGTCGAGGCGATTGGGGCCCAGACTAAGGTGCTGTGATGGATGAAGTCATGGTATGTTTTATACATCCGCACTTTACGCCGGAACAACTATAACTTTAGAAAGTTTCCCCCTACAGGCAGGGCAGTCGGGTCACTTACAACATACTGGGGGCACGTACGTTAGTATTTCATGTGATTTATGAAAGAAAATATAGCCTTTCCTAGCTTGTCCCATGTTTGGTCTGCAGTTACACGGCAGTGCGTTAAGAATCAGTAATTTCGTTTTGGATGAAAGGTTAGTCACAGCCTGGCTTCTTTTAGGTCGCATCTGATTTTTTTCATCCAAATGTGCAGTGTGTGTAGCACCTGGTAGTGCGGGCTGAGTCACAGGCGAGATGACTGCAGTCCAGCCCGAGGAGGCCCGTGGAGGAGAAAGGCGGCCTTCGGTGTGTCCTGTGCTGCTGGGAGCCACTGACAGCACAGGGGCCAACGCAGGCCTACCCCACACAGGCGGCTGGGCTCACCACCCCGCTCTGTCCCTCCTTTTTCCTGGCTTCCCTGCCCCAACTCCCAAACATTCAGTGTGGGTTTTGATTCTTGGCTCTTTCCTCTCTGCTGCGACCAACTCCAGCTCTGCCTGTTTGCTTATTCTTCCTTCTCTCCCTGTCTCCCTGCCTGGCTGTCCGCCCTTTGGCGGCCTTTAAGGGTTGGAAGGCTTCTGCTGCTTATCTTCCTTTCCTGCCTTTTGTTGGTGCTGTGTTTTCTCAGACGTGCCTGCTCCTTGCTTTCGTCTGTTACAGCTCAGCCTGGTGGGGCCACGGCAGTTCCCCTCCCTCTCTGTCCCCATCACACGGGTTTTGAGTAGCCTCCGGGCCCAGAACACACTTCACAGCCTCCCACATGTTCTACTTTTGGGGCACAGTCATCTTGGGTTTGGGAGGCCGCAGAGTAGAAAAGCACAGGCTCTGGAATGTGATATGACTTGTCTCTAGATCCGGCAGAGGGCTGTGTGAGGACTCATGGTGACAGCTTGCTTGCTTATTTATTTATTTATATAAATTTATTCATTTTATTTTATTTATTTTTGGCTGTTGGGTCTTCGTTGCTGTACACAGGCTTTCTCTAGTTGCGGCGAGTGGGGGCTACTCTTCGTTGTGGTGCGCAGGCTTCTCATTGCGGTGGCTTCTCTTGTTGCGGAGCACGGGCTCTAGGCACACGGGCTTCAGTAGTTGTGGCTTGCGGGCTCAGTAGGTGTGGCTCACGGGCTCTAGAGCGCAGGCTCGGTAGTTGTGGCGCACAGGCTTAGTTGCTCCACGGCATGTGGGATCTTTCCGGACCAGGGCTCGAACCCGTATCTCCTGTGCTGGCAGGCAGATTCTTAACCACTGTGCCACCAGGGAAGTCCTGGTGACAGCTTATTTAAAGTGCCAGCCCAGAGTGGATCATTAGTAGATCCTTGCTTTTATTGTTTTAGTATTCTATTAAATACTGAGGCAGATCCTGGTTTGGAACAGGTATCAAGAAGGAGACCTTGGTTATCCTGATTTGGGGATCTTTGCTTATAGGTAACAGAGTTTAGGAATATATCTTACACTTCTGCTTAAGAGTTCTGAATTTAAACTTCCATCAGGGTCCTGGGTTCCAGGTATTTTCAGCCTAACAATTCTAAATGCCGAGCAAAGAGATGACCAAACTGCATTAATGATGAATAATGATGGTTAAAGAAAATCTTTGCAAGGGTTCCTGGAGTACTTTATTAGGAGAGGAAAGGCTATGTCCTGGTATCTTCTCAGCCATCTTTCTTAACTTCACAGACCTGTTTTTCTAGTCACCATTAAATTCCTGCAGATTTGTGTGTTTAATATGTAACTGTTGTAAAAGTGTGAAAGTGTTTTTCAAAGGTTTGGAAGTTGTAACTCTAATGACAGAATCAAA